AAAGACAGAAAGAAGAGCAATCTAAGAGTCCTAAAAGATAAGTCTGGGCTCTACCTTACCAAGGATAAAAAACACTTCGATTATGTAAAAATTACTTTGAGGAACTGCCAGACCCCGAGCAAAGGCAGGAAGACTAGCCCAAAGGGGAGCAGTCAACAGATATCGGTCTTTCAACAGATAAAATCACAGAAACTGTAAAAAGCTTCAAAAGTGGCAAGGCTGCAGGAATCGGCAAATATGAGTGGCCAGCGGCGTTCTGCATAAACTAGCCCGAGCCGCTGTGACTGAAACAGTGCTGCGTCTGAAAACTAAGCTCTGTTTTCAAGTCTATCTTCATTCTGATGCTCACCTACAGTCATAAGTCGTAGACCATGACTGAAAAAATTCGAACCTGCATACAATCGGCTAAAATGGGCTTCCTAAGACGAATGGCTGAGCTCACACAACTCGACATGGTCCGGAGAGCAGGTATCTGAAAAAGCCGTGGTGAGGCTACTCCAAAGTGAGGAGTCAGCTGCGGTGGTCTGGGCACGTTTTGCACATGCTTCAAGAAAGAAAAGCAACACAGCTACCACTTTCCCAACCGACCGGACGAAGACCACAGTGATGGCCAAGATTAATTTGGGGTGTCTTGAAGGAATCTGCTTCCAACACAAACTATTTTCTAACGAAGCGCAAACACTGGCACAGTAGTGTAAACGCTGGAGACAATGTCTGACGCATCTGTTTCCGCGACCCAAGAGGACAAGCAGTCATCAAAACTGAGTGACATCGAAATTCAAGTCCAGCCTGATAAATTATTAAATCCCTTAATACAAAACATTAAGTTAATCGTTCATGGTAACTAAACTGCTTAAATCAAGCTTGACTGCAACAGAATGTAAGTCAATTAAATCTTTAAAAGGAAAAAATGACATTATAAGTAAGAAAGCAGGTAAAGGCAATGCCAGGGTGGCTATAAGGCAGATTATACTAGCGAATGTCATGTAAGACTTAACACTTACTGCCAATTCTAAACAGCGATCCTGCTTACTTACTTCCATTAACTTCAAACGGTTCGACAGGTTGTTCAATGACATGACCACCTAGACCAAAAGTTTTTCAACATCCGATATGAAACTCAACCATATCTTTATTGCTTAATTAAAATACATAAATCTAATATTCGTTCATACATACTATCTCTACGGTAAGCTGCGTTTTCGAAGAGGTCCCGAAATTGACTGTGAATATTTAACATAACAAGAAAAAACCCATCATACACCAAAAATTTCCATCAAGTCTTCAAGAAACTGAAACAGATTAACTAAACTTCAGGGAGAATTATAATCAAATATATGTTAAACACTTGTTTAACAATGCTTCTGTTGACACTGTATCAGAATAATCAGCAAACTTCTCGTAACGGGTAATTCACTTCAAAAAAGTACTAATCGCCCAGTAAATTCTAACATAAAGTTGATAACCTTTTGCATGGCGGAGGTTATTTCTCCTTCAGTGGCGGATTGTTCATAGAAACTAGAGGCACATATGAGAAACCCACCTTCTCCATCCTTGCCCAGATTTTCATGGAACATTTTGAAAATGTAGTTCGGGACACGAAGTTAGATCTGTTTCAAAGGGTTTTCAAAATATGTTGGCGATATTTCCCCATCTGCCCTAGTAGTGAATTAAACAAAGTATCTGATTATCTCAATGGCTTTTACACTCATAACATCCCTTTAAGTACTGAGAGTTAAAAATCAAAGTCACAATTTCTTGATAACTAAATATTTAACTCTGGCAATTGCCATAGAGTAAAGATAATCATAAAAATAATCATTTAAATAAAAGATCTGTAGTTGCAACTTTAAAAGACAAAGCTCTAAAACTCTGCAGTGGTGAATTTCTCAAAGAATAAATAAAACATCAAATTAACCTTAAGTGGTAAAATTTATCAAGTCAAATTCGTTAATAAACCGTGGAGTAAAGCATTTAAAATTGACTTAGCAAGTCAATAATGTCAATATAATATTTTAAATATACCTCCTACGTAGAAAATCGCGGTCTACGGTGAACGCCATATTCAAAACGAGTGCAAAAAATTCCTTGCCTCATTAGAATAGCGCGAGCAGTTAACAGGAATGCAAAATACCGGAC